TTTATGTGGGTTTATCTTAATTTCCCAGTACGTCCATGGACACAGCGATTCTTATTCATTTATTGTCTGTGGTAACTTTCGTACTATAATAACTAAGCAGAATAAGTTTTGACAGAAACCACATAACCTGCAATGCAAAAATATTTACTAACTGGCCCTTCATAGATTGCTGACCTCTGTTCTCTGTTAGATTGAAGGTGACGGATTTAACCTCACATTTTTTGAGTCAAAGGAGAAAAGTTTTTCTGTGTCCAGTTACTCAGGGATCCAATTACATGACTTTTACTCCATGGAAGCTTCCTCTGATCAAAGTATTTTCAGGTCTTATCAGTACATGTGTTAGTCTCACTTATGACTTCCCCCTACATAAAATGACCTGTCATTCTTCATAGTCATCTGTAGACTTAAATTTTAGCAGAATTTCATTAGTTTTTATTCTTCCTTAACCAGAAAAGAGTAAAGATGTAAATCCAATGGCATAGACATAATAATTTTTCTTTTGCCCTCATGTTTATTACATGTTCTTATTAGTTGTATGCCACATGCCCATGTTATCAAGAACTTTCATTTCACAGATATGAATACTTGTACAGACGTTTACTATCATAACTGTAATAGCCAGCCAGGTAGTCAACAGCAAAGCACAAATTTCAAACTAATTCTCTCTATTGGTCACCTCCATGCACCTATCCTTATGGTTATATCTCTGGTTTAATCCTTTAAATCTAGTTTAATTTTCTGCTATATAAAATGCTTGTGTACTCTAACAAAGTAGGAAGATATTATCACATGGGTATTGAGTCCTCTGGTACAGCTGCCCACCAGATGTCTGACCACAGGAATTCCACAGATCTCCATTCGCACTGTTTACATGTCTTAGACATGATACAGGTGCTTAGAAATAAGGAACGGTATATAGTGGTATGGAAGCCTGCCAGGTCACTCAAAGGAGCACATGCAAGCTGACAAGCACCCCTGAACTTGGCCATAAAAAGACACTGGAAGCAGTGGCATATTTTTCAGCAAGCCTTCTGAAAATTAAAAATCTGCTATAACATCTATATTTGTGTGAATGAATAACAACTGAGTGACACTATTTTAAGGGTTGATTTTCACTTTTGTCAAAATTTTAAGCTAAAATTCACATGCCGGTTTCAACAAGTATGTGAAGAATTTTCATGTTACAAAATTGAATTGTAAGAATTATACGTAATTTTAACTGATAAATTTACAATTATAACAAATGTGTTTTTTTAGTTATTTACAGTCTAGCCAGATAAAAACTTAGCTTTAGGAATGATAATGAAAACATTGAAGAAAATCAATATACCTTGCTTATATTAATATTAATATTAACCCTACAGTAAAAGCAAGAAATAAAGAATCATATAAAATTCTGGAAAGTTTCCTCATACTATGTTTTGCCTAATGGGACCTCCCTCCACTTCACTATCACAGTGCTATTTCTAACAAGATTTAACTCGAATGTCACTTTTCTGTGAAACTTTCCTGTGCCCTCATTGACAAAAGCATTCACAATTCCTACAAAAGTCTGACAAAACTTTAATAACAGCTTTCATCACACTATATACTGTGCCTTATTTCCAAGTCATCTGAAATTTGACAACTTAGATCATAAGTTCTATAGGTCAAGGCCCATTTTTCTGTCACCAAATGACAGAGCCAGGCACAGAGCAGTAACATAATAAAATAATTACAGGGAACAAATTTAAAATTACAAGACAGTAAATGCTCACAATAAACAATTTGAATGTTTACAGAATTAGGAGGAAAATGTTTTTATTTTTGAATTAGTGTGAAAATAAGACTTAATTTATCATCACATATATAATAGTTTTTATTATTCAATCAAATGCATGAGGCAAACTCCCATATAAGCACTTTTTATAAAATTTTTCTAAAATCAAATCGTTGTTTCTCAAATATACTAGCAATTATGTAAATTAGAATTTACCTCCTGATATATTTCATATTTCAATTTTAAGAGTCCTCAAAAACATATCTAGAACTGTGGTTCTTCATTCAAGAAAATTATTTTCCAACTTTATTAGATAGGAGTCCTTCTGATATCTTATCCTCATCTTCATAAGTTTCATATATGTCTCTTAAACAGTAACAATTAGGATTCAATGTAAGATTTTATATGGAAAACAGTTGATAAAATTTTTTAATATTTAAAACATCAACCAAGAGTAGTTTACATTAGCTTACATTTACCGTAAAGAAAATGTTTAACACATAAGGAAACCTCTGGACACTTATAAATTCTAAATTACCTAAAATAATAATAGTAAAATCACAACATCTGAAATTTAAGAGGCTCCACATATTTACTTATGTCTTAAAGTACACATCCTAATCTTTGACTGCACTCACCCAATTTGTAGTAATTTCTTTTGAATCCTATATAGTTCATAGAATTTATATCATCCAAGATTTTTCTCCATGCTATATAGTTTGTTCATTCAAGCTCTGTCTCCAGGAACATCTCTATAAGTTATATTAAAGTACTACTTTAAGTGTAGTCTTCTATTATGTGAGTATAAAAATACTTTTATTGATTTCAATTGAATCAGTAAATCTCAGATCTATAGATCTTTAAACTATAATGTGATATTCCACTGTACTGTAAGCAAAATGGAACACCAAAGCCAGTTTCAGCATGAAATTAGAATATGTCACCATCTTCAATGACTCATCGTATAGGTTAAACATTATCTTCTCCAGGACTCCTCTATCAAAATGCAATCCTGTGCAGGCCAGTCCCGTAAGCATGTCCCCTGTACAACCACTCTTGAGAAAGGTCCTGTGCTTGGCTTAATGCTCTCATGTTGCCATCATGAAATTCTTAGCAAGTTCGGGACAAGGGACCCAATTTTTATTTTACCTGACACCACAAATAATGGAGCCACACTGCTGATGAGAGTGAGAACACATGAAACCATAATATTAATTGGTCAAGTGAATAATTTCTTTAAGTCAGTAGGAAATTGCAGCAAGAGCATGAGAAGAGACATCAAATGCCTCTCTTTCAATAGGAGGAGGAAAGAAAACATAAAAGGAAAGTTCTATTCACAAACTAGCTCAACTCTTCAGTTACTAATTATTTACTGAGTATCTACTAAGTACCATGTATTGTACCAGATGCTGAGATTACAATGAACAATGCTGTTAAGTCCCCACATTCATGGAGGATTTTACTCTAGAAAAGAAACAGATAATAACCAGGTCTGTTTGAGGGAGCGGGGGCGCAAAGGCAGAGTGTTGGAGGAGGACTTACATCTAGTTTATCTCTAGCATTGCTACCTTTGGTAATGTGGCAAAATGATAACAGTTAAGAAACTTTAATTATAACAAGTGACTTTTTTATTATCAAGAGGCAATTCTTGAGTATTTTCTGCCTTTATGATTATCTTTTGTCTTTTTCCTTTTAGAATTTTTGAAAATTTCATGAATCACTGCTAGTCATCTTCTCCACTTTATAATTTACAATGCACAGTTTCAAATACTAAATATTACATATATTTAGAAATTAATGTTAGGGTTCATTTTTTGTGAATAATTCCTGTGCTCACTCTATGATATCACCTAGGGCATTGATGTAGGCAAGTAATGGCTCTTTGCTGATTTAATGACTATATACAAATTATGACTAACTGAACATATCAACAGCTTTCCATTCAATATCCTAAATTGAATCCATCCCCTAGTGCTAGCACCAACTTTGAAAGATTAAAAAAAAGTTATTGTTGTTATTGTTTATATAGAAAAGGACATTTGCCCCCACCCAAAATTTTTCCCATTGCTCTATCTTTTATATTAATTGTGACTGATAAAAATCAAATATTCCTTAGAAATAATGCACAGTGGTAAAAAGTAAGAATATTTGGTCAGCCTAAAGTATGGATGTATATTCATAATGGAGTAAAATCAATCCAGTGTACACTGCAATTTCGAACCATAAGAAAAACAAAACAAAATGAAAAACAAAACAAAACAATTTGGAACCTTGAGGAAAACAAACAAACAAATAAAAAATAAAAAAAAACACAAGAAAAATCTGTTCAGATACAAGAGTCAAAAAGCTTCCTAACTAGAAAAGAAGACCATTTAAATTTCCTCAAGACAGAGTATGCCTGCTAACTATTTTGTGTTCCCTTTACAATACATATCATTCACCATGATTATATAAAAATCTTATAATTCCATCTGGTTATGGGCTGGCAAAACAAGCAAAGCTTCTTTGGAATTCTCCATATACAACTGACTGTAGTTCATGGGACCATAAGGCTGTCAAACATCCGACAGTTAAGTTACTGTGTCCTATACATAAGCCTTTAAGTTTCTTCATGTGCAGATGTGCATTTAACTGAGAGAAAATTGATAACATGTTTTCATTTTCAACCCCCAAAAGAAGGACTTTCATTCCAATATAATTTTATATTTAACTATTCTCACTGTGAAGAGATTCTATCATAAAGTTCTTTGGAAGTCACATCTGATTACAACTTTACCATCTTTGTCTTTGGCTTATGTTAGTGGAAAATACATTTGTTATATTTGAATACTCAAATTTCTCTGAGTATTTTCTTCCTAAGACTCAATAGTTTCCATTAATTTAAAATTTATTTAAAAGGCCTTAACTTTTTAGACATTTCTTGTTTACATTTATTAATGTGCTTTTAGAGTGCAATAAAGGTTTTTCATTAATTAAATAAAAATAAAATGAAACAAATAAAAGGCTACTATTTAGCCTAGAAGCCAGTACTATTAATTTTATTTGCACTATTTCTATAAAATTTATGTAAATCCCACATGAAATTAACATGATATATATTGGTAATTCAGAAGGTTAGAATTTGTTTTTAAGAAGCTTTAAAAAATAAGAATGGTTGTAGGCTGAGTGAGGCGATTTCATCTGCTAAAGGTAAGAAAATCATTCTCAACATGAACATCTTTGGAATCATAAATATGCTTACCTGTGCTGCTGGATATATTAACATCAATACTGATATCAGCTATTCCTCCTCCCTTCAGAGACGCTACACATGTGTATGTCCCAAAATCCGTGAATTTTAAATCAATGATGTCCAAGTTTGTTGTTCCTGGAGACACATCTGGATCAGTCTGTGTAATAACCATCCGCTCAGAGCTTCTTAATGGACGACCATTTTTAAACCAACTAAATGTTAACTCCTCAGAAGGAACAGCTTCTACTTGGCAAGATATTTTCACCTCACGCCCAATCTGGATGTTGTCATCTTTGTGATAAGGATCCGGTGTGATCCAAAACCGTCCCTTTTTTAAGGCTAAAACATAAAAATTCCGTAAGTAGTTAGTGTTACTTTCACAATGCTAGGGATTTCATTCACTCTAGCTAATCTCTGGGCTGAAATAAAGTAAATAAAATAAAGCAAATAAAATAATATATATTGTATCTATCTATCTATCTATCATCTATCCATCTATCTATATCTTAATTATTTCCAATTAATGTACGTATCAATAAACCTTATATAATCTAGAAGTAATCTAAAAACCTAAGTCACTTAGAGACTGTAAACAATTCAATCTGGTAACTGGCTAGCAAAACAAGCGAAGCTACTTTGGAATTCTCCACATACACACTGACTGCAGTTCATGGGATCACAAGGGTCTTAAACATTAATTGTATAATATTTTCCAGTAATGTGAAAATGCTTTAAATCTATACATGATACATAAACATTGTTGCTATTGAACTTATAACAAACAATATAACCTGTTTGGAAAAAGTAATTATGAATTAGAGTATAAAATAATAATAATAATAAGTCAATTCATTACTTATCTCATCCCTCAATTATGACACTGCTTAAACAACTCAAATATTGCAGAAAATTTTTCTAAAGTTGAATCTACATGACCAAAACTAGATTTGTAATAATTAAGTCAGTTCACACCATGAAGCATTTTCATATATTGAAATAACCTGAGTTTAAAAAGATGTTTCAATATATTTTATTGACTTTTTACAGAGAGGAAGGGAGAAGGATAAAGAATTAGAAACATCAATGAGAGAGAAATATCAATCAGCTGCTTCCTGCACACACTCTACTGGGGATGTGCCCACAACCAAGGTACATGCCCTTGACCGAAATCCAACCTGGGACCCTTGGTCTGCAGGCCGACGCTCTATCCACTAAACCAAACTGGTTAGGACCATAGATGTTTCTTGTTGAAACTGCTGAGTCTCTTGTACGTATGACTAACAGAACCTCTTGGCAGGAGCTTGGAAAGCCGCTGTTTGTATTCTTACAGCAGGGCTCTCTCTCTGGGGCTAACTTCAGTCTGTTGTCACAGCCTGGCTCAGGAGGGATGACTACCAACGACTTCTTGGGGAGCATCTATTGGTTTCTCGAAGGCTCCAGTTCTGAACTTTGAATTACACTAGGGACACAATAAGGAATAGAGCTTGTAGTTAGGCAGTGGTTCTCTTCTGCACACACTTTTCTCTTTTCCAGTATCCTACCCATTTCTTCTCTCTTAATATCATCATCTATATATGATGATATGAAACACATGCAGTGAAACATTATTATCAGAATAATAATTGTTCACTTACTTTAACCAATAAACCTATCGATATATAATGAAAATGGTAAAAACTATGAGAATTTAGAGAACCTGTGGCTTTGGCTCAGTGGAAAGAGCATTGGCCTGTGACTTAAAGTGTCCTGGGTTTAGATTCCAGTCAAAAGCGTGTACCTTGGTTGCAGGTCTATCCCCAGCCCTGGTCAGGGTGTGTGTGAAGGCAACCAATCAATGTGTCTCTCTCACATTGATAGATATTTCTCTCTCTTTCCCTTCCACTCTCTCTAAAAGTCAATGAAAAAATATCCTTAGGTAAGAATTAACAACAATAACAACAACAAAGAGAACCTGCAAATAATGGAGGCCTTCTAATTGTATATTGGGTTACCTTTCCTGAATTTAACCAGATTTTTCTCAGTTGGACTAATAAAGGCCTGGAAACACCATGGAAATATATAAAACTATGAAAGAATGCACTGAAGATTAATACACTTTTCAAATCTTAGAAATATTTGCTTTTGACATTATTTACTCTAGAGTACCAAATATTTTATCTGCTTTCCTGTTTGAATCTTTATGAGGAGAAATAAACAAACATCAAAAACAATCTCTTATTCTTTCTTTTCTTTCTTCTTTCTTTCTTTCCCTTTTCTTTCATTCTTGCTTACTCCCTTTCTTTTTGTTCAAAAAATATTTATAGGTCTCCTGTTCAAAAATAGACATTAGGCAAGACCCTTATTACATGAGATAAAGAAAATAAATATAACCCTGTCCCTCACATATTGCAAAGTATTTACTCACATATTATTAGTACAATTTATCTGCCTAATATTTATGATACTTTTGTCAAGAAAACCTACAAGCTGCATGATGTTAAATGTTTTATAAGAGTGAATAACTTTGAATCTCAGATAGGAATCCATCAAAATATTCTTTACAAAATGCACAAAGCTTCAGTCTTAATGAAATATCAAGACAAATATTTAAATCATATTATCATATTGTTTGTTTCCACAATAAAATGCAATTTATGAACCTTAGTCATTCCTAATCACCAATTACCTATTTATTAATACATGGCACTAAGATAAAATTAGGAGAAAATATAGCATTATATTATATACAGTCATATATATTTTTAAATAGACACTAAAATATGAATTTTAGTAGAAAGAGAAATATGCTAAAAATCTTTTCTGGTTACTATATTTGGTATATAATATCATGCATATATAATTAAAATCTAATTGAAATTCTATAGCATATAAATATTCTTTTTAAAAAAAAATGATTTTAGGGAGAAGAAGGGTGAGAAAGAGAGAGAAACAGAAATGTGAGAGAGAAACATCAACAGTTGCCTCCCACAGGTGCCAGGACAATGGGGATCCAACCTGAAACCTGGACATGTGCCCTGACCAGGAATCAAAACTCGTCACCTTTTGGTGTAGGGGAGAGACTCCAAACAATGGAACCATCCAGCCAGGCAGATTATCTTTTTTATTTTATTTTTTATAAAGAGATCTAAAAATAGTATTTCAAGGAGCATTTACTTTGGTTAGCATTATAAAATTTCAATGAAGTTTCCTTTGATTTGGTAAGATTTTTTTTCTATCCTATTTCTAAGTGATAGACCTAAATAAAAAAAAAGTTAAACAAACAATTCACTATTTTTAAAGTTAAAAAAAACACACACACCAACATTATGCTAATTTAACAATTGCTTATATGCCAGCATATTTAGAATAAATTTAATTATAAAGTTATATGTCAGCTTCCATGTAACTACACAATAAAAACCGCTGAAATTTCCATTGTTGATTTACTAGGCAGTTATGTTTCCTAACCCTACTTTAGGAATAGTGACATATTAAGGTGATACTGACATTGAGAAACCTGGGAACTCATTACAGAAATTGGGTTGAAACTATTAAACAATTCAAAGCATAAAATTAATAAAAAACAAAATTAATGTCTATATTTTGTGTTATTCATAAAATAAGTGAAATTCAAAGTAAAATATTAAAATTATAAATCTGATAATCAATTAATGAATAAAATTAAGTATGCTATAATTATATTTTAACAGAAAGCAATATAATCAAGTGAGCTTTAAAGAATAAACCTATTTGTTGATGTCAGAGTCAGATAGTTTTATAATTTGACCAAAGGCAATCATATTAGTCTTCCAAATGACAGATTCTAAAAGGGAAGAGGGACAAATGAGTCCTGCAAGTGATCAAGGAAGCTCAGAAGAAGCAGCACGGATCATTTGACCGGAGAATATCTGTTCCAGCTTGCTTTATGTTATCTCATAATAAGCTGTCCAATTTTGCATAAATAACAGTAACATTCTAAGGCGGGGGCAGGGGGAGCATGTACTATGTGTGTTTGTGTACTTATCTATAGTAACAGAGGACAGTTAAATTATTTTCTAATTTACTTTGGCTGTTCAGAACACTGAGAGCATAGCTCTGTAAACTAGGCACAGATACATTAAGAACTTGAAACCTAATACTAGTCTTTCATTTCTATGTGGTCCAATATAAGCAATCTACTTTTTCTATCAAGTGCACCAATTATAAAAATAGGGGCTATAGTGTTAGATGCCCTCTGTGACCATGGTGAGAAATAGCTCATTAGCAGCAGTGTAGAGCTTTGAAAACATAAAGTGTTTAATACAGTTAATCAACTAGGAAGCAGGTTCCTTCATTTATAATTAAACATTCTCTTTTTCAGTGAACAATTTATAGTAGTTCATACAATGTTAATTTAAAGCCATATCCTGCTACCAGTTAAGATTTCAAATGCTTAAAATCAATCTGCGATTAGTCCCAGAGTATAACAGAGGTACAATGGTACATAACAAGACTAAAGAATTAAAGAAATTCTATGGCAAAGAGAGGAGAAATCCCTTTCCCCAAATGCAATTTCTTAGTTTGAATATTGAAAATCCCCATAACACCAGCCAGCGAGAACATTAGATTTGGCCTAAATGTATCATAAATTGTGATAGATGGACCTCAAAAGGTACTTGTTTAGTCTGGCAATGTATGTAAAGAATTGGCATCACCCTGAGCCTATGTTCTGGATAACCAGCTTAGAAAACATTGCAATATAATACAGAGCCCCCATTTTTTTTTTTGATAATGAGAAACTGAATGCAAATTGGCCCACATTCACTTTAGACAGGTTACTCTTGAGGGCACTGTAAATTGCACTTACTGAAGTCCCTCTATTTGAGATTTACAAAGGCGCTGTGTGAGAAGAATGAAACCTGTGAATAAAAGGAAGGCCACTGCAAAGATCCAGATAGGGTTCACTGCTGACCTTACCCTAGAGATAAAAGTAGATTTTTGCCTGTAAATGTCTACAGCTTGGATAAAAAACTTCTTTATTTAAAGTGAGATTACTTCTTCAGTTTATGCCTGAAGGAGAGACCATTAGCTCTAGAGAAGCCTAGACTTATGGTTTCTAAGAATACAAACTCAATGCAAATAAAAGCAAAAAGGCGACTGTGAGGTTACATGTTGCTTGTAGCTATAGACTTAAAAGTATAAAATTCACTGATTGTCAAATGCTCCCTAGAACACATAGTAGTTTCACAATAAAATAAAATGTATAGATAAAATTTTTCTAAAATTTTAATGAGAAAGCATCTCTTTGGAGATCAGGTATATCAGGTGTGAGCTTTTGAACCTCTGCCAAGAATCTATTTCAAAAAGAAGATGAGACCCAG